GGGAGAAAAACCGTTTGCATGTGAGAGATGTGAATATAGGTGTTCTAAGTCTGGTACGCTTAAGTCACACATGCGCACTCACACGGGAGAAAAACCGTTTGCATGTGAGAGATGTGAATATAGGTGTTCTAAGTCTGGTACGCTTAAGTCACACATGCGCACTCACACGGGAGAAAGACCGTTTGCATGTGAGAGATGTGAATATAGGTGTTCTAGGTCTGGTAATCTTGAGAAACATATGCGCACTCACACGGGAGAAAAGCCGTACGTGTGTGATATATGTGAACACAGATATACTGCCCTCAGTAATCTCAAGGTACACATGCGCACTCACACGGGAGTGCAATCGTTTGCGTGCGACATATGTGAGTACAAGTGTATATCTTCCACTCAACTCAAGGTACACGTGGACTCACACATGAGAGAAACCATTTGCGTGTGACAAGTGTGGATGCAAGTTTACTGCCTGCGCAGTTCACTGAATAGTCACTGGCGCACTCACTCAAAACCGAGCGCGTGATACACGCATCTACGCAGGGCAAATACAGAAACCAGGACTGCATCAAATCGTATAGCATGACAGTATCACATCGTCTAAAACAATCCTACTGCGCAAACTGATATCGCGCTGCCGTCCTTCGTAGCTCATAGTAGAGTATTGTGAAGTATATAAATGAGATCACTGATCTCTGTAAACTATCTGGATAGCGGCTGGCCAATCCTCTGTCAGCGAGAAAACGATGCCATCACATCGTCACTGGCCGCCATTTTGCGACCACGCCAAACACTCCGCGCCGGTATGCGCCCCGTAACATTTAGAATGTAGAATTAGAAAATGCAGCGTACTTTATCATTCTCATTTGCATCATGAAAACAACAAACTTTGATGAATACATGACAGTATATATAAATATTTATCGGCATATTAAATGAGGGATTAAAATTGTTATGCATGAACATATTTACCACATTGTTTGTGCGTCGTAACGTGGTACGTGCAGATATTCGGATATCATTGCAATGCTGCCTGTGGCGTGATCAGTTCTATGTACGTATGTTGTATTCATTTATTCATAACACGTGTCACGTAATATTGCATGTATAGGTTCTGTAATGTTTTTTTGGAACTTTTTTCGAAATTGTCATTTGTTTTCGTTCAGCTATTGTCATGAATACAAACGTCACATGTTGGCATGTACGTATCGATTGTGTGTTTTGTATGGTCGCGTGTTGGGGGTGGGCTGTGTGTGTGTGCGTCCCAAGGACTGGTCCCAAAACATATCACACGTGTTTTTAATTTTTTATTATTATTATGCAAATTAGGTAGATTTCGGCAATTTCACTATGCATTTCAGTGTCTGCCTACGGTCAACGATAACTCAAGAACCGTTTGACCCACATGTTTCAAATTGCATACAGTTCTTACTCCTATGGGAGAGTTTTGAACGTCCTAGTTTGGAGCATGCCAGTCGACCCTCTTTCGAGCCACGCCCACTTTTTGGCAAAAATGGAAATGGCCATCTAGATTCATTCGATTTTGTTAAATTTACCTACCTACCTACCTACATACCAATTCATACCTACGTGTAATATTGTGTTTTAGCTTCTTCATTACAGTAATTTGACTGGAATATTTTACTTTTATTTGCGCGATAATTGAAAACCAAAATGGCGATCATTTAGGCGTAGCTCCATCTCTTGCCCAGATTTCAGACTTTCAGATCCGAAACATTTATTTTTGCATCAAACCTAACCCTGAAACAAAACAGTAACATTTCTATTAGTATAAAACCGGGAATAAGGCTATTTGATGACATTTCGGTCCGTCATAAATGAAACACTTACCAAATTTTAAATATCACCTCCCTCTTCTATCGCACCCAAGGTGAGCTATAGTGTCATTGACGCTTTCATTTGGATGAGCTAGCTTTACTGAGCTTCCTGGCGGATTGAGTATAGACGTGGATTCATTCTGTCACATTCTGTTCGTTCTATTTGAATTTGTTCACGTTGAAATATACATGTTATTTTGTTGATTTCTTGTTAAGTTGTTATACTTTTTCGGGAAAGTAAAGGTTTAACTCTTTAGGTGTGTTCCTTCTTCTTAGTTGCTTCTCTCTGTCCCACATTTCTTTCTGTCTGTCCCTTTCTCTTTCTTTCTCTCTGTCCCTTTCTCTTTCTTTCTCTCTGTCCCTTTCTCTTTCTCTCTCTCTGTTCCCCCCTCTCTCTCTCTCTCTGCCCCCTCTCGCTCTCTGCCCCTCTCTTTCTCTCTGCTTTTCTCTTTCTCTCTGTCCCCCCACTCTCTTCCTCTGTCTTTCTCTCTTTGCGCCTTCTCTTTTCCTCTCTCTCTGTCTCCCTTTCTCTCTTCCTCTTTCTGTCCCCCTCTCTCTTTCTCTCTCTGTCCCCCCTCTATCTCTTTTCTCGCTCTGTCCTCCTCTCTCTCTTTCTCTCTCTCTCTCTGTCCCCGCTCTCTCTCTTTCTCTCTGTTCCCCCTCTCTATTTCTGTCTCTGCCTCCTCTTTCTTCCTCTCGCTGTCCCCCTTTCTCTCTCTCTCTGTCCCGCTCTCTCTTCCTCTCTCTGCCTCCTCTCTCTCTCTCCGCCCCTATATCTATATCAATGTAATAATAAATAAATAAAATAATCATGAATATAACCATGTGAGGATTTTTCGCTGCTGCTATTCCATAATGTCTTTCTTCTTCTCTGGTTACTTCCCTTGTAGGCCTACTGCAAACTTTTCTAATTTCTACTGCAAGCCGCTGTGTTGGTCTATCGATGTTGACTAACTTTGAATCTCCCCGTGTTTGGTATAGTACATTGGACTTTGAAGATTATATTCCGTATACGGGGTACACAGCTGTATGCATATTGGTTTTATATGTAGTAGATTGCTATGATTATGTTCATTATTAGGTAACTCACTCTGGGTAACTGCGATGGGTTATGACGTCGCAACTAAAGCAACGTCCGAATTGTTTATTTAATTGCTCGTTAGATGGCGCGCACGACAATGCAAATGGCCTCACTCCCTTTCCTTTGTGAATGTAGTTTCATGAACGGAGAACTCCTCGTAACCTCGTAAGTAATAGTCTTCAAAGTCCAAGGGACTATATATCGAAGACGGAATAGACTCCAATGAACTGTGCCGAATTGAAGTAGAAGTCAAGATTAATCCAGTTCGTATCGTATATTGTCCCACTCTTGTAATTTGTATTTCACAATCACAATGCAGCATTCACTGATTCAGAATGCATCACTTCTGTTCTGGTGAAGGTGCGAGGATATTCTGGGAATGTGAACTTTCATCTCATCATTTTCATTGATTTGTACCTCCAGCGTTTAATTCTGCTAATCTTATTCTTTGATCCCTATATTTTAGATATATATATACATATATTCAAGAGCTAATATTATTAGCTCTTGAATATATGTATATATCTAAAATATTCTAGCTCATCTAGACTCTCAAATCGTGAATTTATTTCGCAAGGCGTTGTTTCGAAATCTGGCGCCACCGCCGCCATCTTTGTCTCGTTAAGTATGAAAGCGATGGACTCCCGTACCCGTAGCCTCGAGACATTAAGATACGGCTACCGTACCCGTAGCCACTGCCTTTTAAGTAACGTGGGATACTCGCAGCTAGGGCCTGCATAACTCCCAAATGGCCATTGGTTGATACAAATCTAGTTAATTTTTTAATTACATTTTATTTAGGGTTAGGGTCACAATGCACCATAAAAGTTTTATTAAAACAGCAGTTTCAGGCACGTGATTTGTATCAACCAATGGGATTTAGGAGATGCAGGCCCTAGCTGCGAGTACTTGGGATCGTCACATTTCCAGTCTTCAATGGACTCTCCTTTATTTATACGTAGTGGCTACGCATCCGGAACCGGTCGCCTCACAGGCACTTAGAACGTCTCAATAAAAAAAAAATGTAAACACTAAATGTATTTACTACCAGTCTTAATGTTTCTCTACGCTATTTCGTCTATTATTGCCCGTAAATGCCGGTCAAATGCTCATCTGCAACACACAAGTACACCGCACGCCCGCCCTGTGCACAAACAACATGAATAAGAGAGCAGGTATGAAAGCGTGATCGCAAAATTCGCTCGATGCTCGCTTCATTTCGCACGACTACAGAACGAAAACACCAAACAGCCTCCATCTTGGTATCTATCTGTAGCTATTTGTTCACTTGTTTGAATTATTACTCTGTCCTTTGTTCTTACCTACTCCCGCCAGAGATATCTTGTGAAATCCTGCAGGAAATGTTCTTTCCGTGAAAATGTAAAGAGGACGTATATATATCATCCGAAAATCCCTAACGGCGCCTCTCTCTCCCTCTCTATCCTCTGATTGCGCCCCTCTCTCTCCTTTCTTCTCATCTTCCTGCCTCCTCATGACGGTTGGAGGTTCGCTCGGTCTCTCTCTGGCGACAGTCCTCTCGTCGTGTCCCCCCTCTCTCTTCACTCTCTCTGTTCGCGCCTGCTCATGCTGTTCTCTCTCTGCCCCCTCTTTGCTCTCTCTACTCCGACACACGGAGTCTGTCATTGAGAGGCCTCTCTCTCTCTCGTGTTCTCGGCAGCTCTTCATGGAGCTGCGCCTAGGTTGATTCCTAAGACTTTCATGCACCACTTCTCTACTCTAGCGTGATACATGCAATGACCCTATTATTATCTATATCAATTTTGACTAGATAAAGTAAGAAAAATAAAATATCGAGAGTGCACATGCTTTAGATATACATGTTGAGGATTTTATCGCTGATGCTGCTTTTCACATTGTCCGTGTGTTTCTTCTCTGACCGTTATCTTCCCTTACTAGCATCACTTTTCTAATTTCTATCACTGCAGGGGAGGGAGAGCGAGAGAGAGCCGGTGCTGTGGTTAATGCTACTCGATGGTTGTGACTAGACTGTTGAATCTCCCTGCAGAAGAGGAATTAGATCTGGCCCCGAAGAGAGAGGAGACAGAGAGGACCGTGTGTGCGTGATGTAGTAATTCGAGACTTTGAAGATGTGGGAGGGATATACAATCGTAATACCAGGGGGGGAGGTACACAGCTGTCACTATTAATATCATTGGTTTTATATATATTGTAGTAGATTGCTATGATCTAATGTTCATTATTTAGAATAACTGCGATGGGTTATGACCGTCGATAGGAGCGCCTGCAATCAGTATAAAGCCGTCAGGCGAATTGTTTATTGAATGATCGTTAGTACGAGAGAGAAGAAGAGAACGCCAGAGATTAGGAGTGGCCGCGCACGACATGCAAATGGCGTCACTCCGTTTCCTTTGTGAATGTAGTTCATGAACGGACGAACTCCTCGTAACCTGCGTAATAATATGTCCTTCAAAGTCCAGGCGGACTGATATCGAAGAACGCGAAAGGACTCAAGGGACTGTTGCCGAATTAAAGTAGAAGTTAAATCCCAGGTTGCGTCATCGTATATTGTCCCGACTCTTGTAATTTGGGTAGTTCACCAAATCCCAAATGCAAGATTCAGAATGCATTACTTCCTGCTTACTGGGGAAGGTGCGAGGATATTCTGGAATGTGAACTTTTCAATCTCATCATTTTCATTGAATTGTACCTCCAGGTTTTTCTGCTAATTGTATTCTTTGATCCTAATATTTTAGCATTTCCTCAACGTCGCGGAAGCATTTTAAGTAAGTGCGGATACTCGCAGCCTAGGGCCGCTTCAACGATAGAGATTGATGTCCATACCGATGGCTAGGCATTGCATACCTCCAATAATGGCATTGGTGATACAAATCTAGTTATTTTTATTACATTTTGAGTAGGGTTAAGGAGGTTAGGGTCACATGCCACCTAAAGAGTTTTATATAAACAGGAGTTTCAGGCCGTTGATTTGTGTATCAAACAGATGGGCAGTTTAGGAGGTATGCAGGCCCTAGCTGCGGTAGTACTTGGGATCGTACATTTCCATCTTCAAATGCTCTCCTTTATTTATTAGTTAGTGGCGTACGCCGTCCAGGAACCGGTCGCCTCACATCGCACTTGGAACGGTCTCAATAAAAATAAAATGTAACACGAATCGTTTTATACCAAAGGTCTTAATGGTTTCTCTACGCTATTTCGCCATTATTCCGTAATGGCCGGTCAAATTGTCATCTGCACACAAGTCACCGCACCGCCGCCCTGTGCATAAAACAAACCATGATAGAGAGCACGCGTATGAAAGCCGTGATCGTCAAAAAATTCGCGTACGACGCTCGCTTCATTTCACACGAACTACGAGAACGAACCAACAACAAGACAGCCTCAATCTTGGTATCTTCTGTAGCCTATTTGTTTCATTGCTGTGAATTATTCACTCTTCCTTTGCTTCTTACCTACTCCCGCCAGAGAGTATCTCGTGAAATCTGCAGAAAGTTCTTTCGTGAAAATGTAAGAGGACGTATATAGTATCATCCGAAAATCCCTAACGGCCCGTACTGGTTCGGTCGATCACTGTGCTATGTGTGTGTGACGTACATTGTCGCTGCGCATTATGCTGCTGGTTTGGCGGGCCTCGAAACGGAGGTCGGAGGCAGGCAGCAGCTCATGCCGGCCATGCATGACCCCATTTATCGATGCATAAACAGCATCTACGTCTCTGTTACATTTTCACGGAGAGAACATTCTACCGAAGCTCACGAGATATCTCTGCAGGGATAGGTAAGAACAAAGGACAGATTATAATTCGAAAACAGTAAAAACATTTAGTCTACAGATAGACACAAGATAGAGCTGTTTTGGTGTGTTTCTGTTCCGTGTCAGTAGTGAAATGAACAGGCGAAGCGTCTGAGCAATTCACGATCACACTTTCCCTTAAAAAAAACGCTGCGCTCTCTTATTCATTTGTTGTTTGTGCACAAGGAGCGTGCGCTGCAGCTGATACTGTGTGTTGCAGCATGCAGTATACTTGACCGGCATTACGGGTAATTATCGGCAGACAATAGGTGAATAGAGTTAGAGAAACAGAAGACTTCTGGTAATAAATACATCTTCTGTTTACATTTTATTTTTATTGAGGACGTTCCAACGTGCCTCTGTGACACACGGCACAAGTTTGAACAACATACTATATATGCACTTGCTGCTGTCGTATCCTTCATCTTTCCTCTCTCACCTCCAATAACTCTTCTTTCAACACAACCACACACACGCACAGCCTCTCTCTCTCTCTCATCTCTCTCTCTCTCTCTCTCTCTCTCTCTCTCTCTCTCTATCTCTCTCTCTCTCCTCTCACTCTCTCTCCTCTCTCTCTCTCTCTCTCTCTCTCTTCTCTTCTCTCTCTCATCTCTCTCTTCTCTCTCTCTCTCATCCTCTCTCTCTCTCTCTCTCTCTTCTCATTCTCTCTCTCTCCCCCTCTCTCGTCTCTCTCTCTTCTCTCGCTCTCTCTCTCGCTCTCGTCTCTGCTCTCTCTCTCTGCTCTCGCCTTTCCTCTCTCTCTCTCTCTCTCTCTCTCTCTCTCTCTCTCTCTCTTCTCTTCTCTCTCTCTCTCTCTCTCTCTCTCTCTCTCTCTCTCTCTCTCTCTTCTCTCTCTCTCTCTCTCTATCTCTCTCTCTCTCACTCCTCGCTCTCTCTCTCTCTCTCCTCTCTCATCTCTCTCTCTCTCTCTCTCTCTCCTCTCTCTCTCTCTCTCTCTCTCTCTCTCTCTCTCTCTCTCTCTCTCTCTCCCCTCCTCCCGTCTCTCTTTCTCTCTCTTCTCTCTCTCTCTCTCTCTCTCTCTCTCTCTCTCTCCTCTCGTCTCTCTCGCTCTCTCTCTCTCTCTCCTCTCTCTCTCTCTCGTCTATCTCTCTCTCTCTCTGCTTCTCTCTCTCTCTCTCTCTCTCTCTTCTCTCTCTCTCTCTTTCTTCTCTCCTCTCTCTCTCTCTATCTCTCTCTCCACACACCTACTAGATTTCTCTCACACACACACACCGCATGGCGCGCGAGTGCGCACAGCACTCTAGGCTCGCTCTCTCTGCTCTCTCTCTCTCTCCTCTCTCTCTCTCTCTCTTCCGCACACACACCTCAGCAATCAGCAGAAGCGCTCCCACTTGCTGAATCATGCGTGTACG